TTCAGCATTCCGAGAGGGGATCCTGGAAAAGCACTGCAAACATGCAGGGATGTCACTGTAGGATTAGGGTTTGTGGGCTTGCAGCTTAGTGGCTTAGAGCTTTAGGGGTCTCGGGTTCGGGGTTCAGGGTGAGCATGGAGGGTTGGGGGTTTGGCTTGTAGGAGTTGATGGCTAGGCAAATGGAATGGTCATCAAGCCAAGCGTCTAATTTTAAATTTTCCATCTTGAAACGACTCAAGGTCGTAGACGGGAATTGCATTTTCGCGTGCGGTTGGAGGAGAGAGGGTAACAAAGATTTAGGCAGTATTTCTGCACATTGATCGGTAGAGACTACTTGATGGAGTGATCTGGCCAATCAGTAAACACACTCACGATTTCAGGGGTATAAGGAGGAAAGTTGTTGCTTGCACACCACAACTCTGGGTGCACACCCTCGATTTGAGGCGCTTCCATATTAGGATGGCGCTGCTGTGGAGGTCTTTTAGACAAGACCGGGTGGCTCAAGATGTCTTCTTGGACTATACGGTTGCTAGACAGTTCTGATATTTCTCAAGAAAGCATTCAGGAGGGCGAGTAAGGGATTGTAAGGGCTATCTGGGTCTTTATTGATGGCTGTTAGGAAGACGACGGGTGGAAATTATGGCAGCACTTTGCATGTGCTCGTACCAAAGCAGGAAATTGCCCAAAATCATGAAGCATAGGCTTCTGATTACTTTGAAAAATTGGCACTAGTTCTGCTTGGTACGCAAAAGTTTGACCCTGCGGGTCAATTTTCAGAGCTTGCAGCAGGCATGTCGGTGTGATCCGGACTTTATTCGGAAGTGCCACTGACGGATGGTAGGCGCGTACGCGCACACTGTAAACCGCAGCAGAACCTCAAGATGCTTTTGCGGAAAACTTCCTCACAGCATCCAAAAGTCTATAAAGTATGCACTTGTGGCACTTCCACACGTGTCAGAGCTATGGGTTGGAGCACTATGGGATTCACAAATTGGAGTATACGTGCCCCCCTATAAGGATTCTACAGTGCCAACGCATACCTCCAAGAACTCACTAAGGACTTTGTAGCCCTAGTACTTTGCATCAGAAGGAATAGCTAGGAAGATTCAGTGGAAATGTAGCACACCATAGTGTACACCAAAAGACCATTCCCACTACTCAGATGCATTCCCGGCACGGGGCATACTACAGGATTTTGGAGCACGTTGCAATATATGTAGTTGTGGTTTCTTAGCCTGGAATGACCTCGGCCAGACTGTGTGTATCTGGTGGTTTGATACCATATCCGGAACATTTGCAGCGGTTTTTCTTCCACAGCTATGCAAGTGGAATGGGATTGGGGGGGGCTCACCTTTGTAAGGGTTAACTGTTAATGGTTTTTCGTATCGCAGCCGTGCTGGGCAGAAGACTTGAGACACCCACTTCGAGCCGCTTCGAGCCATACTTACACTTGTAACTCCCTTCACTAAGCCGATGGATCCCCTGGCTTGAAATGCCATAGTGTTCGTGTTCTATGTAACTACTACTATTACTACTACTACTACTACTACTACTACCGGCCTTGAAAAACGGTTGAGGCTTGAAGAGGCTCATGTTATGAGATGTCGACCGGATCTGCCTTGAGGTGCCCTCCCCTGGGGAGAGATCTATGTTTTTGTTTTGCAATGCAGTTTTCAAGGTTGATTTTCTCTGAACGGCAAGGGTTATCCTGGGGACCCTAGAGAAAACGGAGTAGGACTTAGGTTTTTGGCTAGGGTTTGGGATGCCGCTTGGAGAACCAGGAATGGATCAGGTTCATGGCTTCCAGCTTGGTGTTTGGGGGTTGAGGGTCTGGCACTTTGGGATCTAAGAGTTATATAGGGCTTAGAGATTGGGATGAGCCTCCCAGATAGTCCCAGACACTCACGAGCAGGCAATGAGAAGAATGGATCACATGGATTCTCCAGGCGGCTCACTGAATCCTTACAACCTTCAAACACACAGATTCACTCCACCATTCCTCAAGCATAGTGCATGTAATTCTGACCCTCTCGGTCCTTAAGCCCCGAGGCCCAATTTCTTTTATCATAGTGGCTGGGGAGGCCACCTGAAGCCGGGGTTGTTTAACAGTTCAGCAGGCTACGAGTCCCTGACTCGCTGCAGAGGATCCAACGGGGGAGTTTTTCTGCGGGGCTCCTAATCCTTGTTTTGGTGCTACCCGAGTCGCAACCCTTGTAATCCCAGCAGGAGAGGGGATGGTGACAAGGCTCTGAGACTCTAGATGTGCTTTGGGGTCCGATGGTCACAAAGCAACATTACAGGGTTTGTAGGGCGCGTTCTGCTGTGGATCCTCCTCGAAGTCTGAGCAAGAGCTTGAATCAAGCGACCTCCTGTGCGAGGCACCAAGTCTAGGCAGTGAACACGACTACTTTCCCATCCCGAATGTTAAGACACCCCTGCCCGTGCCGTATATTCAGAAATGTTAACATTCGCCCACACCCCCATATCACATACGCCCCCTCCATTAAATGGGGGTTAGCGTGTTTAATGTTTAGGGATGCGAGGAGGCCCTTTGAGGCGCCCCAGGCTTGCGAATGGAGGCTGTTGCCTCTAAACATGAGCCGGGTCGGTCTTTGCAGGTCCTGCTTGCTTGTTCTTTCATTCACGGTTTAAACGTCCTAGGAAATCATGGAGACTGGAGCTTCCAGAGGCAACCCAGTACTTGACAGCTCCCACGCTGACGAAACTTATGCACAAGATAGCTACAGTTACTTACCATAGCCCGGGCTTAGGGTTAGGAGTCCTGGCGGCCGTTCCACGTCCTTCCAGTGAGGGCCTAGTGCGAGTCTAAGATTCAGCGAGTTGAGGGTTTGTGGGGTTGCAGACCCTAGACCGTAGTCACTCCAGGCTGAGTTAAGTGCTTGGTTTGGGGAATGTGTATTTCGGCGCTTCAGAGTACGTAACGGGCCGCAACAGTAATCCTCTCAACTTTGGGGATACTGGGGGACCCCAATTGTCAGAAGCCCTCACATTACTACTAAGACATTGCTTGACCTTGAGCAGGGAGGTCGGTTATGCGAAAAGCCGAAGGCATTCGTGCCCGTTCTTCAGGCGAAGCTGTAGGCTTGGCCATGCGAGTTTTGTCAGATTTTCCTTGTGGTGGTGTTGTTGGCGGTGGTGGTGATGATGCTTGGCTAAGGAGGGGATCCCTATTTCAGCCCCATTCCCAAAGGTTACAGTTTATTCCCATTGGAATTTGGGCAAGAAGCGTTTTGGCCTCACAGCCGCGCTGACAAGCATTATGGCATGTGTCCTATACGTTCATGATCAGGGTTGGATAAATATTGGTCGTGGCGGCGGCATATATGCTTTGGGCACTGCTCACACTCACTCACAGTTGGACAACATCGATACTACCTGTATACAACGCGCTCAAGAACATCTTTCTTAAGAGATCTTAAGAGTTGCTAGTGGGTGGGGTCAGGGCTCCAGGTATACTGAGGGTCAGAATCAGCCTTAGTATCAAGATAAATTTGGAGGGACAATTGGGATGTTTTAAAAAGACGCTCTTTTGATAGCGGTAGCGTGTAATAAGATGATAAAAGTGGCGGAGTAGCGATGCCAAACACATGAAGTCATGTGTTCAAAGCGGCCATCGGAATAAACCCATCAGACCAGAAAATCTGAATACGATGTTTTGCTTGGTGACCAGATGTGGTTGGCCCCAAAAGCGTCTCAAAGTACCAGAGGTGTTAGTCCGAGCAGTCGACTTGCTTCTGATGATGGGAGAAATCCTTAACAGCTACCGTAGGGTATTGTGATGAAGATATATAGAAAATCTACTATACTATTCCCTAGTTTCTGCGCAGTAGTTATACCTTAAACATATACCGGATTTCCACTGCACCCCTGTGTGATTTCATGCGGTGGTGCATGCTCTGAGAGCCGTGGCTCTCGTCTCACCTGCGCACCCTTGCTCTAGCCAGAGCGTTCAAACGTGGCATGTGCAAGCTGGCAGCAAAAAGCTTTGATCTTGAGTTGGTAATGGGGCGTCAAAATCAGCAGAAACGTGGGAGTGCGGCTGACTGTTGTACCGAAGTTTGTGCCGAGTTTTTCGACTTCTGGACTGGAAAGTCAGCCCAATTAAAACTGTGGTCTTGACCTGCGAAAACTTCAAAAGCCTTGGCTGGGCCCATCTGGGATTCCCTGTTTGCCTTTTTGACTGCTCCTGCGTAGTTAGTTATGCGGTTTTGAGCTTGCACATAGCTCAATTCGACTTACGGCCCCAGCCCCCGGCGCCCAGCCCCCAGTGCTTCGTGATTCCAGGCAGGCAGCAACGAAGTGGATTCTTGGTTCTGGTATTGCATGCGCTCGTAATTCCACTGCGCCACGCTGCCATACATGATTTTTCCGGAATTGTTATGGTAAACAAACACTGCCTGTATCCTGCGCGTACATCTGCGCATCTTTGAATGGAATTTTTGTGGGTGGTTTCATTTCAGGTGATGGACCAGCTTGGGCATGGACATGTGAAATCCGAGGGCTCTGAACCAGCATCATAGCTGCTGTAGGGCGCAGCAAATTGAAGACTTCCAATCGATCTATCATTTTTCAGAACGTAGGGTTTCGCTGCGATTGATTCATGTCTGGGATGCAGGACGCACATACGTACAGTACTTTTTGATGTGTTGTGGCCACTCCGGATTCAAGACTTCTCAAGATCCCAGCCCTCAAGGTGCGTTGAAGGGCAAGGCTTCGTAGGGTTCAGGTTGCAATAGACGATAGAGAAGCTTTTGTGATCTGCAGACTACAGGCAATGGCACCGAACATGATACACAAACACATCTTCATCTTGTACTGCAAGTACTTGTGCAGATATGCATATATGATGTATGTATGTAGAGATCACATCCCACGCCTTGCATGTACCCTATAATTACATCAGATGCCTGAAGAAGTCTCAAATACCCCTGTCTTAGCCTGTCTCAGCTGCTCCCGAAAGACAAGCCTGCACGGTGAAGGCACACTACGGCTTCGGTCTTTACGGTCATTCTCTACCTTGTGCTGTCCTTCATGCCGGCGCCAGCCGCAGCAATGCGCGATAATGAGTCCAGAGGACAAGTCTGTAGAACTTCCTGCGTGTTTGGAGAGGTCCAGGGTTTCGGGATGGGGGTTTAGGGTTCGAAGCATTTGTTGGGCCCATGTTTTTCCTCGAAATTAAGTTACAATCAGAAACAACATCTTTAATTTGATGCTGGTCCCAAGTCCAAAATACTTTTGCGTCGCGCAGTGGGTACGTCCAAATTCGATTGCTTTGTATCTAGGAAAACTCGGACGGCAGCACATACCCTCCAGGACAGTAGGCCAAGGGATCCGACAAAAGAAATTTGCAGCTTTGAGATATGCCTAGGTGCCATGCTTTGAGAATCTGTTCTCCGAGCTTGCGTTCTACGGCCCCATGGCTGAAGTGGCTGCACTGTCAACATAACGAACCGTCACAGACCCAAGAAGTTGATAAAAGGTAGCCTTCAGTTCTTTGGAGCAGATGGCGCTCATCTCAGGGTTGCGTATGGCGCCTGAACGCCCTTGAGGCAGCGGTGTGAAGCATATGAATGACCATCGTCGCGAGTCGTTATCAGCATTGTCAATTGTTTTTATGATGGTCATCGTTATCATCATCATCAACATGGTCTGATGATGACTGCTTGCGGAGTCTCTCCTTGTTAATTAAGTACGTAGTGCCAGTACTGTACAACAAGTAGCAGCATCGGTGTTCAGCAAGAGTCAGCATGGACCTACAGCCTGTTTTTTTTCCATCGCGGTTTTTGCCAACGGCCGGCTCGAACCAAAAACATGTTTTCCGGAGTACCCCAGGGCGCTGCAGCTGCAGTGGTAGAACAAACGAAGCATAACTTTGTCTCCTGAAGCGTTGCCAGCACCATTCCTTCATAATCCTTGAAGTATCACAGTATAATGTAAAACTATCCCGGCCTCTATGCTGAACGTGCGAACGCTCGCAAGTTTCGTCCCAGTAAAACATCCAAACCACCAAGGGCTGGGTAGGGCCTCCCGATCCCCAGGCTACTCGTCATCACAACTTGATGATGCTGTTGATGCTGCAAATCCTTCATGACCCCGGTGGTGTCGTCATGCAGGACATGTACTTGTAGTACGTATAGTATAAACACTAGATACCCGCACCGTCCCTCACAAGTTTGCCCCAAGCTTAAAAATATCCGATCCATATGTGGTAATGTGCTTCTTCGTGTTCCCTACATGAAAGATTTCTTGTTCTTTTTTCAAGGATAGAACTTCAAGGGCATTGGATTTGAGCACAGAATCACACGCCGCCTGCGCAGCTTCCTTTAGAAGAGGCATTGCCCTGGTGTCCACTTTCTTCATGTACACCTTCTTCCCAGAGGTGTTGCTGCATGACTTCATGCCCTTCGGCTGGGAATGTCTGAGCACAGGGTTGAGAGGGCTTGGGGTTCAGAGAGCATGTGTTCGCCTTGCAGGTGGTTGCCAGGGAAAAGGGAATGGGTCATAGGGACCCCTTCCTTTACGCCCGGCTAGCAGGAAACTGTATTTTATTCACGCTCCAAGAAAAGAAATGTTTTTCAAGCAGGAAGGTATGACTGCTTCATTGAACGGGTCGAGCGAAGGGGCTGCAAGATTCAGGTTGTCAGGAGCCTAAGCGTCCAAGTGCAACAATGTGATGTAGTACGTATGCACCCCGGCCCTACAAGTGCTTTGCAATTCCAGTTGTCGGGTTGGACACTTGGGGTTTCGGACGTTGGCAGGCCAGTAGCCGTGTGCGATTTGTTCAACTTCCAGCACCAACTTGACCTTACCAACCAGAGCAAGTTCCCCGCACTGTAGACTGATATCGAACGTATTGTTTGGCTTCCAACTCTCGTTGCCCGCCGTTCAACATATCCGCATCATCCCGACTTGCTTCAACGGCTTAGATTCCATATTCTGTGCTCATAAGCACGGCCCCCAAGTGTTGGAAGTAGCCTCAAGAGCGAGTCCTAAACACTCGGCCATCCTTCCCCTCGGCCCTCTTTCATCCTTCTGCCCACACGTTTCCACCAGCTATGTCGTAGATTGCGTTTCGGCAAGACACCTGCATGTCTAGGTTCATGCATTACCTGGCGCTCTTCACCATTCCGCTGATTCCTTTGGCCTTCGCCTACATGCCAATGTTCGCAGCCAGGACAGGGATACTGATTGGGTTAACCTCAGACATTTTTGTGCGGTTGGTACTTACATATCGTCTTCAGCTTCAGGTGTTGCAGCCCGCTATTGCTGGTAGGCTATGCACCAGATGCGCACGATTATTTCATATAGGTATTTCCCAAAACTGGAATTTCTTTGAGCTCCGACTACAATACTCGGAAAACCCCCAAAAAGAGAGCTGCAATTTTGAAAAACTCCTACATTTGTAGCTGAGCGCACTCTCTTGCACCCCTTGCGGGCAGCACCAAAAACAGGCCACATATTTGCAAAGAATGGGCGCCCACCCTCCCCCCCTTTTCCCTGCACCTCATGGAGTGATTCTGAAGCTGCTCGGCCAATCCAGCACATGCGGCTTCATGATTCTTTTCGTACCTGTCACCGTTGTCATACTTGCCTAGGTAGATCCATCCCCATCAAGCCTTTCTTCGCGCTGGCAGGTGTTGCTTCTTGCCTTGTCATCGCCTTGCTAATGCTGCTGATCAGAGCAAAGTGGGAGCTTGTGAAGATTCACACTCCAGAGAAATACAACCCCCCGATCCCGAAAATTCTAACGCTCCGAAGCCGCAGACGTTTCAGGAGCTATCTGTTCCTCTGAGCACCCAACGAGGTCGGGACATATGAGGATAGTGCTGCAGAGAGGACGCATATGGCTTAGTGAGCCCTCCTCGGACGACTGTCTTGGCGGAGAGCCTCTTGAAGACTCTTGTGGCAGACTCAAGTTGGCCAACAAGTTTCGTAAGCCTCAAATGTCCTGTCATTGGGGCCCTAAGAGCTTAAATGGTGTTGTTGCTTCCTCCTTTCCAGGCTCTGTGCAAGGCGTCGAAACTGCTTAGCGGCTAAGCGAATCGCTGCTAAGGTTTGATTTCTTGATTGTTGACTAACCCTCGACCGTCCCCAACCCCAGCCCTAAATGAACGCTCTTGTTTCATCTGTTTTTACTGTAACATTGGACCTACTATGTAGAAAATGATTCAAGTCGCCCGTGGAGCTTTGGGTTTTAGGGTTCGGCGTGGCAGGCATGATCAAGGTGTTATTTGCACAAAGTAGGTGTATATGGGATTACACGGGGCCTAGATATGGATTTTGCGAAGAAACATCGCAGTCAGCGTGGGTGATCGTTGTGATTGAATTGTGTTTCCTCGCAGGATGAACTTGAACCGTGAAACTTACCTTCGAAAGAGGCTGCAACTGCCAATGCAGATACGCTGCTAGAACACTGCAATCTCGATCTGGTGACTTGTAAACGAACAAAGCAACCTGCAACTCCTTGACAGTCGTTTGACCCCTGCGACAATTGCTTGTATATTGGATTCCCGTTTTGTGCTGGAGGGAAAAGATTTGGAGCTGGGTTCTTATGGTGCAGAAGGGTTCAGGGGTCGAGATTTGGCGTTGAGCGTTGAGGGTAGAGTGAGGATTGACTGCAGAGTTCATGGTCTGAGCCTTTGCAAGCTTTGTTCGTGTTCAGGTATAATTATAGAGGGGCAGGCATTATGCAGAGGCATTTGAACCAGGCATTTTCTTGATCGCATCTATGTGGCTTTTCCATCCCCCATTCTCATCATGAGGACTTACACTCAACCACAGGGAGCACCTTCGTGCCCTCCGAAGGATCACTGCGTCCAGTCATGTGTCAAGACGCCCTTACATGCGTGCTCGGTCTGAATGAGCTAGAAGCATCATTTATCCCGATGACGCCACCACTAGTTCCCCTTACCACCCTAAACTGTAAGCCACCTCAACTCTTCCTTGCCCCGTCCGCGCATGACTCACAGGCATCAGCTTTTGCTTATTGCCATTATTACCCTGTGACGCACACATTGCTACCATTCGTGCAACGCCCAGCAGGGCTTCAGCGGCACTGTTGTTGGCCCGCAGATCTTTCAGGATCCTGCTTGATGGTATTCCTGTTGCACGCCCGTCCTGAGGCACTCGAAGCGCTGTGGTCAAGATAAGGTCTTAGAGCGAAAGCACGTGAACACAGGAAGCCTGACAAGCCAGTCGTTTCACGTGCAGCCTGCCCTTGGCTCAAGTTGCACACAGTAGGAATCGCTGTTCATAGCCATCGCACACATTTGCACATCGGAGTTGCACCAAAAGCAACCTTCTAGTGAACAGAGTCCACGCCTAACCTCAAAGTACAGACACGGGTGCCCCCAAAACTTTGCAGCACGCCCGGCACGCGAGACAAAGACCCCAAGTGCTCTGGAAAGGGTCGGAATTTGATGCGCTAGGAGGTTTTGGATGAGGCCAAAGCAGAGACACAATAGCCATAGCAGCCCGATGTACGGCATGCCGTTCAGTTGCCTTGCCTACCCCAAGCCCTAAGCTAGGCCCTTCCACCTTGCTAGGGCGAACGCTGACAGCCATGGCCGCCGAAGGTAAGAGGAAGAAGTCGGAAAAAGCATCCAAAGGCGCAAGCACTGAGCCTTCCGCCGGGATGTCAGCATGGAGCCTTCCTTTCTGGAATGACTTCTTGATTTCATTTCCACCGGTTAAAGTCGGGGATTTTTTGACGGTTTCCGCTGCTTGGATTCTTTTGGTTCATGATTTAAGGGCCATGTTTTGCTCCTGACAAGGAGCAACGAACCCTAGATGGACGTAGTCTACACAGATGTGCAAGCATCAGCTGAAGACATGCAAGGTTCACAGTAAGTCATGCATCAGAAAACGGTGGGACATGGGCTTGTGGAGAAACAGGTCTGCGTAAGCTGCACTTGAAATCTGAGAGAGCCACATATGCGTCGGAAGCAGCCGCAGAACTCCAAGCGCAACTTGTTAACGTGCTGAAGTGTAACACTGCGAAAGAAAGGGAGAGGGAGAGGGGAAACGGCAGAGAGAGAGAGAGAGAACCAGATGGAGTGCGTAGTCACCTAGCAGCCTGTATCGGTGCATGAAGTGGACCTGAATCTAGGATGGCTGTTGACAGATGTATAGTCCTTTGTGGGCTTTAGTCCCAGGAGCCTGCGTGCTGCGCAGGCAGTCACCCGAAGGGACGCCTCTTGTAGCTGGAGGCCTACTAGTTGTTGTGCGCCATAGGAGGGCGCAATGGGGCTCCTTGTTTGTTGACGTAGTTTCCCCTTGATCTATGCCTGTCGCTTTCCTGATTTGTCCATGCCGCCGCTCTCCCTGGCAGCAATTCGGAGTCACAGTGTAGTGCAGCTGGAGTCTCTAGTCCTATCACCGCCAGTGAGTGCGATGGCAGGGCCTAAGTTGCAGAGAGACCTTTTCCAGGGTGGGGTTCGGTGTAGAGTATGCTCGAATGGAGCGGACCGAGCAGAGCCATCCTGTCTCACGCCGGCTTGGGGGTCTGTTCGTGGTGTTCTGGGCTTAGTGTTGGGGTTATACGGAGGTAACGGGTGGAGAATCTCAGTATCACAGCTGCCTGCAGTAGCGGTGAGGATCATACTTGGGACATGATGGATTGCTGTGTAGGCATTGGGTGATTGGTGGCCTTTCTCTCATCCTGTCCTGGCATGTTCGTTAACTGGGTCCTCAGCAGTACTGACCTCGAACCTCGGACGGCGCCTGCTTGGGGCTGTGCCCCGGCCTCCCTCCTCGGAGGGGGTAGAGCAGTGAGAAGAAGAAGAAGAAGGGGCCTTTGGAAGAAGCCCCCTCGGCAGCCCTACCCGCAGCCATTCAACACCCAAGCCTCTACAAGTGCATCATTGAATCCCCCGAAACCTCAAACTCTAAACACGCCACAGTCAAGAGAAATGTCAGGCCAAGCATTGCCCGTGGCCCTGGAAGACTTCGAGGCAGAGCTTGCATGCCCTTCTTGCTTGTAAATCCAACATGCAACCTTCAAAGGGCTCTACAAACGCTGCTTCCTTGCAAAACAGGAGTCCATGTGAGACTCCACATTGCTTTGAGGGAGGGCGGACTTAGGGGCTTGGCTTTTGCAGGCTGGCCTCTAGGCCCCTGCCAGCAATCCAAATAACAGACAGCACAACAAGCCAAAGAAGAAAATAAACTGTCCCGCAATCCTAAACTCTAACCACTAGCTTTACTCCGTCACGGGCAAGGACCTCAGCAAGGCCAAGCGTGAGGGAGATGAGTTCGCGGTGCGGCAAATCCTTGGTGTCCGGGTGCCTAGAGGCAGTGGTGTTGGTCTGCAGGCTTCAGGGATCCGAAATGGCAAATGATGACACAAGGCATTAGGCATAAGGGTTAACCCCCTAACGCTCGGATCTTGCCATATTCATACGGCAGTCGCAGCAGAGATCGGAAGTCTCCTTATGCAAGCAGTCTCGTGCATGAGTTGTTATGCTTCCACGTGCTGTGCTCAAGTAGAGGGACAGAAGCCGCAAAAGTCCAAGAGCCGAAGTCGGTAGCTCAATATGTGAGTTTGCCAAAGTCCAGGCAGCTCTGCTAAATGTCCCCATCATGCAGGTAGATTCTATGTATCATTTCCAGCGTGGGGTATATCTTAATGTTAGGGTCACCCAGCCCCAAAACCCAGGATCCTGGCTGTAGGAGCCCCCCAGAAGGATCCATGTCAAGGTCTGGAAAGCCGACAACTACCTTTGCAGCCGCTGTGGGCAGGCTATGGGGTTATTCAAAGGGTAAAGGGTTGGGGGTAAAGGCAGATGTAGGCTTCAAGGTTTAGGGAGCTGACAATCTTTGGAAATTTCTCACTCGTGCGTCCTTTGCTTGGGGTATGTGGTTGCACTGAGATGTCTCTGTAATATGGATGCTGTTTTATTTGGCGAGGGTGCTGAAAACAAGGATCCTGGACAAACGCGAATTTTTGATAAGCACGCTCTACCCAGCCTACATTAACCTCCAGACCCAAAACAAAGCAACCCACAGCTTTGCAGCAGGTCTACGATTACGGCCAGATTACCGGCCCGCAGCTCACTTGCACAAACTGCGGCTATGAGAAGCCGTTCGACCGGAAGGCGCCAGCCAACTTCTTTCAGACTGAGGAGTTTGTGAGGAGTTTAGGCAGCGTCGGCTTAGTCAAGGGTTCGACGAGTTGAAGTTGCTGATTAGCCCTCGTCACCTGGGTTCTGCACATATATGAGCTACGCGGCCCTGTGAAGGATATGCAATGCAAAGATGGGATCCAAGGTGGACCTGTAGAGAGATTTTGGCATATTCAGATTTCTCCTGACCCCTGCAGTTACCAGAGAGCTCTCTCAGTAGAGGCTTGGTCTGGAGGACTTTTGGATACTACATTCTGCCGGTACTAGTGGCTGGGCGAGGAATGGCAAGAAACAAAAACAATCTCAAGGTAAACAGGCTATACGCTGTTCCTTTCGATTCTCCGCATTAATATTTCTTGCAGGACCCATCATATCCTTGTAATCCTTTCTGAATTCCCTAAAGCCCCCCTTTTGAAAAACCCCGACATGCGTGCCAGATGCCTCTGCGATCCAGCGCCATAATCTACGAGAGGGTCAAGGACTCAGAGGATTGAGTCACTGTTCTCATCTCCTTACCTTGGCACCTCACCACCCATTGTGAACTTTAAGCTCTAGAGCCCTTAGTCTGCGAATCCCGCACCCATTCCACCCACCCAAAAGCCCCACCCCTGTTACACTGTTACATCCTAAGCCATGCCTGGTTTGCGCACGGCCTCACGGTCTCAGTGGCATTTTCTGGAAAGCATAGTGTTACTGCACAGGCCATGTTGATGCTTGATGCGGTCTCCCGCCTTCCACGTTTCAGCATTATCTTACCGAAGCCAGTTTTTGCTTTCGGGCAGCGAACAGGGCTGCGCAAATCTTCTGCGCGATGTATACTGTCCATCGACAATGGGGAGCTTCTTTTAGAAGAGACCCCTATAGAATTCCCAGTAGAGACAACCAGAATTCCCTTTCAATCCTAGTATCCCTATAGTTCCTGGGACCCCCTCTTTGGAGAAACCCTCAATAGACTATGTAGCCGGACTGTGATTGCTGTTGATTGGTGCGATTTACATTACATCTTGCAAGGTTTTTTATCACCCAGAATGCTGGTTGTCCTAGGAGGAGTAAGGTCTTCCCCAGTTTCGAGTCCCAGCCCCTAAATACACCACAGTAGTGTTGTTTTATTCTAGAACCTCCAATTTCAAGGCTAAACAGGAGGGCCGTGAGCAGTACAAAGGGTTTCAAAGAAGGTTCATCTAGCCTCTCTGCGGCTCGTTCCACAAGCCTAGCTTCGTCTAACATGGTCAAACTCCGCCCCGTCTTTCCAGTACTGCGAACCACTAACGCACTCCCAAAGGTTTCCAGGCCGTTGGCTAAGCTCATGTTACCCTCTGGGCATGTCAAGGGCTCGCTGTTTCTTGTTTTACAGTCCTGCATATCATCACTCCCTCCTGTTGGCCCCTCAGCAATGGGGGAGGGATTCGAGTGCTGATGCAGGACCAGGAAGAGGATCATGTAGACGTGCACTCTGGATCATTCTAGAGGATTCCTGTTAATTTCCGACCTCCTCAGGATTGTAGGATTGTATCTCAATGCTGACACTAGCTGATGTGCGACTAATCATCAGCTTGCAATAACAAGTTAAGCCCTAAACCACCCACAACCGTCAATCCTGAGCCGTGCAACGGGACTTTCCTTCCTGCAGCTACACCAACAGGTCGAGATATTGGATTCTCATTCGTTCCTCCTACATCTTTTCTGAGGCGTTAGTTAACCTCCGCAAATCTTACGCTCCAACCTCTAAATTGTCAAATCCAAATCCCAAACCTGAAAATCCCAAACCTCAACCTCCCACGCCTCGGACCCCTCTAAGCCACATTGACAGTCTTTTTTCAACATGCCTTCCGTTGCAGCTCAGGTCACCCCTCCCTGGTGGAGTCTGAGCACAGCAGAGGTGGAGGCGGGGATTGCAGTAGCCGAGCAGCTAGTGTGTAGGGTCTATAGGGATACTATAGCAAATTTTCGTTGCGTTCACCTCAAATGAGGTAAAGCTGCTGCATGCTGCTGCTATAGGGCTTGGATGTAGATTCCTTCACATCTGGCGTATAATTATAAGGCCAAGTTACGAGGGCCTGTACTCTCATTGAGGACTACATCTCTGATCTCGGCAATGCGAAATGCCATCTTCTTCGGCCACAAGTAGGGGCGAATGACAAGGGCCTGGCAGTTTAGGGTTTATAGTGCTTACGGAGGCTTGCCTGGTTAGGCTTCAGAGCCTGTAGTCCCAATCCCTAACCCTCAACGCTGACGCCCTGAACCCGGAGCCTTTGTTTGTAGCATGATAACAGCTTCTATCCCCTGAGTACATTGCCCCTTCCTTTGCTGTCGGGATTTTTGCGAATCCAGACAGGCGCAATGGCAGGCTGAGATGGAGGATGAGGCCTTCATGGCATGTATGTAGGCGATTCTCAAAACGGAGGGCATGCTATGATGGCCACGGGCATATGGAATCATAGAAGGATTCTGATTTCCCCAACAAAGATTTTCATTGGTCAGACTCCTGCAGTAAATCTTCGTATAACCTGGTACACTTCAGGTCTCGAGTTTAGTTTTGGGTGCCGGCGTGGGTCATTTCAGTTCAGGGTTGAGGGTTTATGGCCAGATGGCCTAACTCCAGGTGAGCAGTCCTTTTGACGGGGTGTGTCTGAATAGGATGAATCGCACGCCCTGAACTCCAAACCCTGTCCCAGAGGCCCAGTCGCCACATGATAGGCTATTGTTCCCTAGTCCCTCTACAGTGTTGTATTAACTAACGACAGCCCGGGATAGGCACGTGACTGGCTGTCCTTGCAAGGGACATCCCCAAACAAGCCCAATGCAAGTAGGGGTTGAGGGTCTAGGCTTGCTCAGGGTTTACGAAACAACCCTCCTCCATCCAGGATTGCTCATTTGTGAAGGTTGGTTTACTGAGAATGCCGCACCTTCATCCCATCAGCTAGACTCTTTCACCACCCAAGTGCTCAGTGCTCATTATTCTGTGCTCAAGGATACAAGTGCATACACGTAGGGATCTAGCAAGACCGGTCCTCCTCAGGTCACAGAGCATCCGGAGATTGATCAGGAATGCCCAAGCAACTTTGTCGCAGATGGCACGCTTATGTACAGCCCAGGTTTCAGTGCGGTCGGTCTGTGAGAGCACCTTTTCTAGTTATTCTACCCACCTCTTCTAATTCCGTGCATGCGCGCAGGTGTTGCACAAGCCCTTCGGGTCAAAGCCTCATGTAGGGTTCAGCAAAGATGAGCATGAACAGAGAGACATTCATGGCCGAAGCCTCGACATCAGTAGGGTTCAAGTGTCTGGAGTTAAGTTATGAGTACCAACAGCCGATTCATCCCCCTCTTGTATCTACGTAAACCCCCAAAACTTCCAAAGACCCAGAAAGCAAGGTTGCGGTCATGACAAGTTACAGTTCTGGACGCGACAACTTCGCTCCGCGGATGCGCCCGGGCCGCTTTTGAAGATCAGGTGTGTATGAGGAGTAAACCGGCATTCAGGGTTGAGGTCTCAGGGCTCAGGGTTGGGTGTGGGAGTTAGCATCAAATTAAGGGCTGCATGGGTTTGGGCTCTAGAATTTACAGGTAGAGCTGCCTTTTTGAGACACGCCCCCACCTCCAGATGGGCATAGAGCTTGAGATTCAGGGTTCCGGACTAGGGCTTAGGATGAAACGTAGTTTTAGGGTTAGTCGGTCTAGGGCTTAAAAGAAAGGTTTGGGTAGTGTTTCCACAAGTAAGGTCTCATGTTTGTACCATCAGCTACTACCTGGTTAAGACGGGATTTAGAACAACCCACCCTGTGTTTAATTCCAATCACCTGTTGATAAAAGGGGTGCTCCGCCTCACATCCTAAACCCTCAACCCTATCGCCCGGGCATCATGACATCTTAGAGTAGCCAGGTGGTGCAGGAATCCTCTATACACCCCTACATGGGATACGCCACTGTGGAGGTTGTTTGATCACAGGAGCTGCTAGCATGCAAACCCCAAAAGGGGACCAATTGGGCGGCAGTCCTTGTCCTTGCAGCGGTACAGCAGGCCATACTTCAAACACACCAAGGTTGTGTTTTAATTTCGCCATGTCGTTCTGATATTTTGCCACCTTGCCACCTGAGCCCAATGTGTTTTCATGGCGACATAGATGGAAGGGTGATCCCGAAATCCTCAAGCGCAGAGCGAGCTTGAAGTCAATGATTCCTTAGCCGAGAGCATGTGCTGACAGTCCAGGGTCCTGGCTTTAAGCCACAATCCACTTACTGCTCCTCAGGTATCGAGCTTAAGCAGGGCTTCCGTTTTACTGCCCCAAGCGTATTCACCCGCATTAGGACGTGAAATGGAGATCAGTCTTCCGAGGGCCCCTCCGGATACAGGCTTAGATTCACGCTTCCAGAAGCACCCCATCAAAATGTTCGGCATCGTTTCAATGTGGCTGCTGTCAGTCGTGCAGGTTCCTTGCAAGACATTAGTTGCTATAGTAAGGATCTTGACATGTCAGCTACTTGTGAGAAAGTTTCCACCATTTTGTTGATTTCGAACTCCAAGACCCAAACAGTGAAGCCAGGAAGGGCTGAGCGTCTTCTTCCTCTGCCACTTGACAGTGCGTTTGACGGGTGACCATCTCAAAAGGTAATGTTTAGGGTTTTGGTCCTTCAGTCCTCCAATTCCAACCGTTCTATTTGTTCATCTCGCTGCTACTGGTGCAGGTTTGTGGACGAAGGGGCCGATTGTAAAGCAGAGGGTATGAGAGTTGAAGTTTTATCTGGTTAGCTTAGGAACTCCAGCAAGCAGAGAATTCATTCATTGTACAGCATTCCAGCAAAGGACTCTGATGCTTCGAAACCTCATGTATGAGAGAGCATCTGGGAACTACAGCGGAAATAATGCGGCTAAGGCCAATGTAATGTGGTCTCGTCGAAGCGGGGGTAGTATAAATTGAGGGTACATTCCGGGCCTTCGGGAAGACATGAGGATCATGAAAGGATAACGGCGTACACAGGGGACATGCCGAGAAAAAGACAAGTTATCTGTCGTTCCTGTCCCTTCGTTATTCTTACAGCATGCTGGTACAACTCTCTGTGAAGATCTTATCGGTGATCCTCAGGAATTCCCATACAGGTGCCTGAAGGTAAGCAGCTCCTTCGGTGCCGTCTGACAATCCTTGAAGCCTCAGAAATTGCGGGCATCTGTTCGGAAGCGGATGAGGTTGTCCTTGCACATTCTGTCCTGCACCCGCAAAATGAGACTTGTTGAATTTTACGTGACCAAAAGGAACAAGAGATCCAGAATTTCAAGGACCACTACCCGACGCTCCCCACGACTCGCCTGGAACCTTAAATGGGTATTGCTTCAAAGGACCGCGTACTCTACGTGGGATTCTTCGGGGACGTTAAATCATAAACCCTGTAAGATCCTCAGCTCAAGGTTTGTAATCCTGGCCAAGCTGACCCAACTGATCCAAGAGCACCCCAACCCAAGATCCAAATCGTAGAAAATCGTCCATCCTGGCCAAACCTTGAAGTCCTGAGCCCGGGCCAAATCTGAAAACGAGCACGACTCATGAGGAAGACTTAGTACAAATAGCGGGCAATGCTCATGTAGGTAGGTTCAAACGAAGGCCCGCTATACTATTAGAAAGGTATATGTGACGCGTGATGAGTGGTGACCCCCCCACAGACCCGCAAATTCGAATCCTACACTCCTACACTTCGCCGTGACGTCCGTTCACACACAGTTTCACTTGTGTGAGCAGAGCACAGAATTTGTGGTTCATGTGAGAACAGCTAAGGCAAGAAGTGTGGCTGGCGGACAGTTGAGAAGTGAGCATATAGGGTTCAGGGTTTAGGGGTCGGGGTTCATGGCTTAGGGCTTAGGGTTCGAGTTCGGGTTATTGAGTTTAAATGTTTGCGTTGGGGTAAAGCGGGCGGGTAGATCCTACGCCTCAAGTCCTGGGCCAAAAGACCCAGCACCCTGCGCTATATGATGTGGTGTTCGAGTTTCAGACATAGGATGTTGTATCATCTTGCCAAATGAGCACAGCACCCCCTCTCAGCATAGCATTCCGACAAAAGGCCTGAGCCTAGGTTTTGGGCTTCGGGTCTTCGGAGCTTAGATTTCATCTGCAACATGGTTTCACGATGCCTGGAAGTGTCTACGTCATTGCTTTTGCGAAAGCTTGCGCGCTCGGGTTGCAGGGAGCTAACCCGTATCATGCAATTCTGAAAAGGTAAACAAAGCCATCGTCCTTTCAAAAGGGAGGATGTGGGCTCTACGTTGTTGCTAGTCTTCATGGGAGCATAGGTATGTCAGCAGTTTCAGTGCAGATGGAGGCCACAGGTTCCACCGTTGCAGGCCCTCACAACCTTGGCAGGTTTTCATCCTGTGGCGATGTCAGCAGCATCGGGTCTCTCGCCTCTACCTTCCTTCATTGACAACTTGATTCAAGATCTCGTTTATTCTTCTTGTGTGCTGCGCCAAGACGTTTATATCCTGACCCCAACTATCAGGTGCGCCCTTTTCCTGGATGGTGGATGGGGAGGAAGTTCCGAGACCTTGAAAGTATGGAGGTCCTGGCACGCACAACTTGTCCTCTGTTGTGGCTGTAGCAGGGTATCTCGCTGGCTTACGGTTGGAGGTAGATAAGGGTCACTTCAATGTGAGAACTATCAGTTTTTAAGCCAACATTGATTGCAGGGAACTTCGGCAGCTTAACTTCTTTCACCGATTTCCTACACCGCCAACTGCGTTTGCATGATGCCCATGCGTCATTGAAGTCAAGCGCCCGAAAAGGTGGGATGACAAGAGTGCCTTCTTTCGAAATGGGAGGTTCTGGATAGCATGAGTCCTGTTTTGCCGGCCTTGTGAATTAGGTTCCTATGTTTTTTGAGTAAACGTGCTGGAGGAAACACGGGAGCCTCCTCAGCAAACCTCTCCTCCACCTGCCCTCATCGCGCCTTTGGACGTCACGCCAAAAACATTGGGTCCTGTCTAAGGCTCAGGGAATCAAGGGATTCTAGCGTAGAAGTTTGAAAGTTTTTTGTACCACTTTGTTCAGCGATGTTATCATGCCCACTGCTTCGCTCGCATCTTGCTCCAGCTTAGACGTGCCAGTAGAGCACACAGGGGCCGGGGGCCCCAGGTACTGTAGGAGTCTTAGACTGAGCAATACCGTTCCCCCCATACGGGGCAATACTCCATCTTGAGGCACATGGTCCCCTATATGGTCCTGTGTCATCCAGGCTTGGCGATACCCTGAATCGTCCAAGAAGTCCCTAGTCCTTCGGAACCCCAAAAAAATTACCCCTCGACGCTAAACCTGACGAACACGGTATGCTATGACACGTGGTCTATGACAGAATTGTATTTGCTATGCTATGAGTCTTGTCTGCTTAAACGTATTGTGACGCTTGAAGCAGTGACCTCGGTGCAATCCTAAAGGGACGCCTTCGCTGCACGCTTAGCCCCTTGGCTTGGGAAGTGGCAGGGAACGGGATGTGGAGCACACTGTGGTATTTTACTGTTACGGTTTTCAGCATTCCTACGTGTCGGGGCGGCAAGGGCAGAATCGGAGAGTCTTCAGAAACTGTAGGAGGGCCCTGGGGTGCCTTCAAGGATACCGCAGGATATGAGTGCACGTCTGGCCATTCGGAATAGGTAATTGGCTGTATTGTGGTCCTGCATTCTCAACCCCAGACTAGGCCCTAAGCCCAAAACCCCAAACCCAAACCCAGCAGGGGCATGGGTTAGGATTTGGAGAGTACCGGCCGGCAGTTAGGCCAGTTAGGCCTTGCAAGTTGTTTGTAGTAATGTTGGCGCTGAGATTCATGATTTTCCACAACGTAGTTTGTCGGATATGCATGGCATCTCAACTATGATACGCATTCGTTGCATTAGAAAAGAGATGAAAGCTGTAGGTCCTGGCCTGATGCTCGCCATATATCCCATGGTTCAATAACTAGTAAATTCGATACATGCTTGTTTGAGACAGCCCCAAAGTGGTGAAGGCTCAAGGTATTGGCCCCAAACGACTGCCTTGAACTTAGAGATTGCAAATCGCGAGACTACTTGCAGTACTACCCATCCCTTGAAGACGCGACACTTCTCAGGGAAACCTACTTCCTATGACTACTAGGTCCTACTCGTTGAGGGGAGGGGTGTTCCTTGGTTGCGGGGGAGTTAGTAAATGCCCCGAAACCACCTGAAGGTATCGCCCCCCAAAGCTCCAACCCGCAACGCCCAAAACCCCGAGTCACTTAGCACCTGAACATCCAATGCCCCAAGCCCCTAAACCATAAACTTCCTAGTCCAAGGCATTTTTATTGCTTTTTTCCGGGGAGGTGACCATCGCATGGCCTTCCAGTACCTGCTGCGATGCCTTCTGTTGACCTTATACTTGGCCCAGGCATCCGTGTGCATGTGTTTAAAATCCTATAAACCTTGAACCGTAAGTTCAGATGTTCAGGTGCTTTGGTAGAGCTCTGGACATCGAGTAGAGACGCAGCACGTAGTAAAAACTAAGAGCTTTTGCGCGCCCGAAGTATGGCTAGGCCTGTTAAACAGAGGGTCCACTAATCGACCGAACTTCCTGCAAGACCCCGCATCAACACAGGGCTCAACGGATTGAGAGCTGGCGTTGAGAATGGTGCAGTCCAACTTGCAAGATGGTAAGCTCAGGATGCCGCGAGGCCATCCATGTAACGAAGGGACGGCATTATTCAGAATGATAAGATTTGGAGGGGCTCACGAAATTCGCTCAAGGAATACTAGGGGATGGTCTTCCTGATTCTTCAGGGATATAGAGCAATGAGAGTATGCAAAAGCAACTGAAGTATCTGTTGGGGGTTAGCGTTGGGATAGGAGCTTGATTGCGATTGGGACAGTCAGAAATCCCCAGCCCAAGCCCTGGATCGGAGGCCTACGTTGGCGTGACGAATGTCGTTTTCGCTCCTAGCCCGGAAGCTAGCGTTCAGGATGTCGTTGGGGCTCTTCTTGGAGGTGTTGCAGGGATTCGTATTCTGCTTGTATGGATTAGGGGTCCGTTCGTTCAGTCCTTAGTAGCAAGAGGCAAATTTGATGGCGGAATCTTGGAGGTTGGTCAGAGTCCCAAGTATTTTCCATCTTGGGCGTGTGCGTCCCCATCAACCCAACAGAAACTCCCAGTCCCAGTAGGCGCTGCAGACCTTCTTGTCGAGGGTAGAGTTCAAGGCAAACTGCATGGACGTGAGAGTATCTAAGCTGTCTCAAGCACTTTCTGTGGCTGCGGCTGTCTGCCTGGAATTCTCATGTATTGGGACACATCTTCTTGCAGAGGGGGCTTTTAATGCATGCCTTGTGAACTGCAAAGGGCCTGGCATGGCTGCAACAAGTGGTACCGACAGAACAATCACCTTGAATGTTCATTTTATGTTTGCTTGAAGCCGTAGGACCCTGTCACTATCCGTGCCTAGAAAGATGCCGTTTCAACGCGACCACACACCTAAGAGCAAGGCTCAAGCCCAAGCCTTTTGCCAGGTGGACGATCAGGACGACTTTGGCTTCATCGGCGGCACTGTGACATGGACGTCGCCGGCAGATTTGTCCAACGACCCTAGGCTTACATGGGAGCCTCCTTGAGGCCATAGAGACGCTTGGGGTGTATAGTTGCCCCAATACTTGTAAACGTATGCTCACTTCTTTTTGACGTTTTTGCGTGGCCCAAATCATAATGCTGGTGGTTTGCTCTGTGCTCTGAAAAGAACTGTGACGTTATTCAAATCAGCCATGCTTGTCATCGTTCTGCCAATCGCATAGAACAGTGAGCAGTTCACAAAAACATCACAGGGATTTATCTTTCTTGCACTTTGTGTATGACTTCTTGTTTTCTGGCTGACCCTTACATCAGCCATAAGCTCTTAACTCCAGACTAGAAGCGCTGGGAAATTGCCTCGGGGCCTTTGGGTTTAGAGGTTTGATGGTTCAGGGGTAGGGTTAGGGTTTCCTCGATCAGCTTGCCCAGTACAAAAAGAAGATCTGCGCCTGAATGACAGGCCCGCGTGGCTTGTAGGAAGCACATTTGGTCATTGTTGAGTACAGCTTCTAATTTGTACTGACATGAAAACCAAAAAAGGAATCAATCGTTTTACATCCTACCAGAAGGAACCACAAAAACTCTCAGTCTTCCAATCTCTAACTTGTGACCGATGAGTTTCTCAACTCTGGGCCATGAATCCTAAAACACAACAAGCCAAAACCCACCTCTGCTTTGGGAATTCATGAGCAGCAGCAGGATGACAAAGGCATTTTTTCGCTTTAAACTCCGTGGCTACCTGTGACCTTTCAGGTATGACTAAACCCTGAACCCCACCCCTAAGCCACACGCTGAAAGAGATTCTCAAAATAAGCCTGGCCTTCATTCTATGAATGGTTTACCTTTTCAGGTCTCCAGCTACCGTGCATGGCTCGCTGCAGACGAAGATACGGAGCTGGCAAATTTCTTCAAGGGCACAGCATCTTGGGTCTACAATTCGGATGTTGTCGTTGTGAACCCTCTAAGCTACTTTGCTCTAAGGGGTTGCCCCGACAAAGCCTGCACTCAAATTGTTCACGCAAGCGCTAAGCCGCTAAGCGATGTTTTGCGCTGGCTGGGCCTTCAGCTACTGAGGAGTGCATGTGAGTCTCTCAGGTTGCTTCTGGATATTCAGGGATTGTAGTGGGAGTGTGGGCCTCTTCAGATCGTGTAGGGATCGTCTTGGGAAATTTCCATGTGATTGGTGCCCACAGATTTCGTGGAAATTTATGGCTGCCGCCATCAAATCGCAGGAATAGTTTATGGATACTGGCTGAAG